ACAGATACATTTTCCTATAGGCTATGATGAAGTGTATATTTTTGTTCACACAGGTCCTATACAAAACTGTGTGGATGGATGATTTGTTTCTCCGTGAAAATCACTCATTTAATAAGCAAAACAGGCCAAAATGTTGTTTAGCTTGCGTCAAACTGGATAAACAATTTACAAACATATTGAATACAAAGGCTGGTTATTTTATGCAATGAGGGACAATAGGCCTATTACAAATTAAAGAAAATTATTTGCATATTAAAACGAAAATATATAATACAACAACAGATCCTACCTCGTAAGAAATGACTTTAGATAATGTAAATAAGCATCAAGTTTTTTTTTGAGATTGTGTGTCTAATTCAGTAGTGTAGTGCGTTCGCGTGGGTTTCCTCCGTGTGCTCCGGTTTTACCCACAGTCCAAAGACATGCGGTACAGGTGAATTGGGTAGGCTAAATTGTCCGTTCTGTATAAGTGTTTGTGTATGTGTGGATGTTTCCCAGAGATGGGTTGTGGCTGGAAGGGCATCCGCTGCGTAAAAACTTGCTAAATAAGTTGGCGGTTCATTCCGCTGTGGCGACCCCAGATTAATAAAGGGACTAAGCCGACAAGAAAATGAATGAATAATGTGCAATACTAATTTAAAATACGTATCACTAACCTTATATGTGAAATAGCAGGGCCCGCTGTAGCACTTTCTTAAGAAGAGCAAATGTCAAATTATTAGCGCAACGCACATGTAGCGAGCTCATCTTTTTGTCGGAACTACTAGACACAATTTTTTTATCAACTATAATGTGTTTAATTAGTTAATTTGAAATTTATTTCATTATTCCAGCAATAATTGTTGAGTGAAAGAATGCGCTAGAAATATGCATTGCGGCTCCCTTTATTGTACAGGCTTATTGCACTTAAACTTTTTTAGGTTCAGCTCTCGAATTAGTAAGGTTATGAGTAAATGTTATTTAAAATATTTAAAGCCTGCCATCTAGCCTACAATAACAGCAAATTTAATAATAAAAACTACTTTGGCGTTGCAATAAAATAGTATTAATTATCAAATAAATAATTACAATATATAATTAAAATAGGAAGAAATAAATGAAAACAAATGGTACCCTTTGTTTTTATAGCAGGGCCCAAAGTGTTCTTATTCTGGTTCTGGTTCTAACAACTATTAAAAAGAAAAAAAAAACACACCAAACAATAAAAACACTAGTAACTGATAATAATAATAATAATAATAATTATTATTATTATTATTATTACTATTATTATTATAAAGCCCTTGCTCTGAAACAATCATGCAAACCAGGTGCTGCTCGGAAATGGCTTTCTTTGCTCAGCATCAGGTGCACAGCAGCAAGAAGCTTGGCAGTGAACTATGACCTTATTTTAATGACAAATGTCTAAGAATACTGCTGATTTACGTTTTAATTTAATTTATACATACGCAATGAATGTAAGCCTGCTAACTGTGTGTGGTTCAAATGATAGAATATGTAAACTTTGTTTATATATATAATTAAATAATAATAATTAAAAGCCTGCGTGTAAGGCTTTTATTTTGAGGACGACGTCACGAGCGCAGATTTGGTTAACCAGTTAGAGGAAAGTGGGCGTTTCAGCACCGCCTACATGTGTAAAATGAATTTTAAAGTCGTTTATCCGTTTTCCTACCCTAAACCAAAGAACGAAAATCCAGCCAAAATCTCGTTTTTTCGTTTTCTCGTGAGCAAAAGGAAAAACGGAAAAACGGCCATTTTCTCCATTTCCTTTATTCCGTTTGAAAATGGAAAACAAATGAACAAAACGTACACGGACCGTGGTCAATCATTAAAAAAGGACTTTTAAAAGTATGAATGTTGAACAATTTTCTTGCTGCATTTGTTTTTTGTTTTTGTTTTTTGTTTTATTTGTTTTAAACTGTAATACATTTTTATTTTTTAAATGAAAAAATAACATACTCTGTATCATTCATATGTAATTAAATGTGACCAAAAATCATATTAAACCATGTCTTATGTTAAGTGGTGTATGTTTTTTAGTAGCCAATAATATATACAGTTTATTTATTTTTTAAACCAAAAAATGATTACGATGTTAAGTAAAGATCATGTTCCATGAACACATTTTTTACATTTACTATCCTACATATATAAAAATTTTATATTTTATTAATTATATATATTGTTCAAACCAAGACAACTTTGCAAACATTTACCGCCCAGATTTACAAATAGTTGCACCAAAGCCAAATTTATTGGTTGTTGCTAGATCAGATATGGTTGCATCCGAAAGTTAACAAGAACTATTTATATTATTTATTACATTTCCCATTTATTGTATTTTATTAACATCTACCCCAAACCCCAACCCTAAACCCAACTATCACAGTAATGTAAAAACAGTAGCTGTACCGAGTATTATTTATGCTATGTATTAAATGACCCAATATTTTTAAATGTCTACCCCCAACCCTAAACCCAACCATCACAGTACTGTAAAAATATTAATTATTGTTATACTGTGTCATAAAAAAACGCTGCTATACTGATGTGCATATTACATTTCCAGTTGACAGCGTATCTGATCTAGACTTTAACAAATTTATTCAGTTTTCAGATGAGCTCACAAAGGGTCACAAATGTTTTAATTGAATGTAATTTTTTTTAACAAAACTCTTTTTTTCATGAATGTATACTGTATTGACTTTTGCACCATTTAAAATGTCCTTGATAAATAAAAGGCAACACATTTTAATTTTGAAAGTCACTGTCTCACAGTTTCCACAAAAGTATTAAGAAGGCCAAAAGACTTAAATACTGATAATAAAAATATTAAAATAACAAAAATAAATGTTTTTTTCTACCATATTAGAATGGTTTCTGAAGCGTGACACTCAGGAACTAATTACATTTTATACTACATTCCATAAGACAACATTTATTTTAAATTGTAATAATATTTCACAATTTCTCAGTCTTTACTGTATTTTGATAAATAAATAAAGTAAATAAATGCAGCAATTGTGAGCAAAATAGGCTGTTTTGGAAAACATCCCTAACATTTGACTTAGTTTATATTCCTATTTTCTTTTCCTTTCCACCGTTTCAGCTGAGAGTTTAGGAGCATTAGTTCATCATGAATATGCTACTTTTCATCACGAGCTTGGACTAAAGCTATTAAAAAACACTTAACGCAATCTTGCAGTGTCAATCGGTGATTAAAATGCATGAAATAGGTCGTGTTCACGGAACCCCTTAAATAGGATGTGCAGAAACGGCCATTGACAAGACACATGAATACATTCATCAATTTTAATGAAAACTAATTCAATAATAGCAGCCGGTGACATATCTGATCAAATCTGCAGATTATCTCATGCATTAAAATTAACACAGATAAATGTCATCCTTGCATATGCTTTTTTCACACTTCTAACTTTAATTCCACATAATCTACCAAGTTTGTGGAGATACCAGTCAAAGTAAATGCATTTTATGTTTTAAAATGTAATTATACAGTAAAACTGAATTTTTCAGCAGTCATTAGGCCACTCTCTGTGGTCACATTATACTATAATAATCTCTTACACTCATCAAGAGATTTTGTGAGTTCTGCGCTCACAAAGACAGTAAACAGACCACTTTTAACAAGTAGTATTGCAATGTAAAATAAATATTTTTAATAGTAATGCATTAAAAGTGAATTCATTCCTGTGTGTTACGGTCTTCAGAGTTAAGTCCTCCTTCAGAAATAGGTAAAAATTCACAAAAATTCAATGTACTCAATGTATTTACTAACATGGAATAAATATATAAACGACACATTTATTACAGTATTTGTTAATCTTTGTTAATGTTAGTTAACAAAAACAGTCTTTCATTGATAATGTTGACAAGCACAACTTTGGATTTTAGTAATGCATTAATAAATGTTGAAGTTTGATTAATAAATGCTGTACAAACATTGTTCATTTTTAGCTAATGTTAGTAAATACGTTGAGGAATATATTAGGTGGCCTTAACTAACATGTACTTACGCTGAAATGAATAATTTGTTACAACGTACTTATTGTGTAAATACATGTAAATACATACAAATATTGTGTTTTACATTGTACTCATGATTGATTATATACCTGCATGTTATTACATATGTAAATACATTGTAATTACCACCCCTTATACTGTAACCCACCCTCTAAACCTACCCATATCCCCAAGCCTGACCCTAACATACCCGTATATCATATCAAGAGCACGAGAAGTGTTCTACAATACATTATGAACACAGTAAGTACATTGTATTTTTTATGTACCTAATATAAAAGTGGGACACATTATATTGTAAATATAACTAATGAAACGTTACTGTAAAGTGTGGACCGGATATGCATCTAAAATGCTTTAGCTATTCAGAAATGTGTTTGATATGCTGTAGATAAAAATAATCAATAGCAATGTTAGAACTTCAGAGTTAAGAAAGCAATATTTTATGAAATAACAATGTTTTTTCAATGGTTATTTTGACGTTTTTGCAATTTTCTGAAAAACAAATCTAAAAAAACCCTTAATGACAATATTTTTTTTATAATTTAGAAAGAAAAATAACTATTAGACATTCATAAATAGAAAATATATTAACAATGTACTCAAACCAATACCTAAAAAATCCAACAAATCCATCAAAACTTAAAATTTGCAAGTGGTCTCTTTTTTCTCCCGATATAGCTGTATACAGAGTGAACAACTAAAGGATGTCATGAGTAATAATAATCAAAATGTAAAATCACACTTTAACAAAGTTATTTACTCAAAAACCACCAAACACTGAAGTCTCTAATATTTTTCACAAGCAAAATGAGATCAAACAATCAAAATGTGAATCACAGAAACCACAATTCACCATTTCACGCTGCTCAGATTCTTTTTTCAATCCTCAAATACCTTTCATTGATATGTTACATGTTTTTTATACTTAAAAGTACATGGAATCTTACCTGATCTCAGCAGCGGTGCACGGATGGAGAGGTGAAAAGAGAATCAAAAGGACTCATCAATACAGGAAATCACTGAGGACCACAGCTCTATGGGACACACGACAAAACTCAACATGTTACTGAATTAATCTGTTACCCTTTCCCAGTTAATCACAGCACACACACACACATGCCCACAAAGTGTGAGTCAATGGTATGGACTGGTGACAGGATCAATAACTGGAACTCAGGCAAATGGACCATTGAGAGCTGTGTTAACGAACATTACCGACTCACACTGCACTCGCTATATTTAACCAATCACTTTACTCCGTAACATAGGGTTTCCCTTTACTAAACCATGTACAAAAACATTTGGAATTGGTCATGTTGGACATACCAAAGGAATGCTTAGTACAGTACTGTATATTTAAAAATGTTCCACACATTCAATTGTTTTACAACATGGAGAAATTAAGTTAAACTTGTAAAAACTTGTAGGTTTAGTAAATTGAACATAAAAACAATTAAGCTATCCCAAAACAACCTCAAGAATTGTGTTATTTTATCTTATTTTAAACAAGTAGATTGAACGAACAGCAAACTTTATTTTTGAGTGTTTTTAAAATCTAAAAATCTCAGAACTGGCAATGATTTTCCTCTCAACTGGGATACCCATTTCTGTGGCCTTAAGCCATTTTTTTTCATGAGCACAAATGACAGGATAATGTCAGGATATGTGCTTTGACATTTATTGACTAGTAAGAAAAATCCAATTCATAGCAGATGCTGAACTGAGTGCACAAACTCAACGCTCCATGTCCATCAAAGCGCACACACACACACACATGCGCCCTGACAAAATCGATGGCTAATAGAGACTCAAGATAACCTGTGTGCAGCAACTCGTTGACTGGTGACCTCCTCATGTGATAGGATTCAAGCTTTCAAGATACCCGTTGACCTAGAAATTCATTTTCAAGTTATTTTTATAGCGTTTGAACAGCAAAAAAAGACTGTGATTATGAGCTGTTTGAAACCTTTAATGTTAAAATGCCGCTATTTTACCCCTTTTTCAAGATTTAATATAGGTTTTTTGTGTCTCCAGAATGTAAAGTTTCAGCTCAAAATACCCACCAGATTATTTATTATACCTTTTTAAATCTGTGAAATTTGAGCTGTTTGTGTTGCTTGTGCCTTTAATGCAAATTAGCCTTTTCTCCTCGCTGTCATTGCCGTAGCCTTCACGTAGATAAACAGCACAGTAACAGACAAGAATGAAGCAGATCTCCTTTACTTCAGTAAGAACTTTCCCAACTGATATTTGATGTATTTCTTGTGGAGTTAATGCAAGCCCTTCTGCAAGGATGAGTCACACACAATGTTGTTGTAAAGTTACACACACTATTTACATTTGCACAACAGTTAATGCATTTCTCAATACAATTAGTCATTTGTGCACATCCTAGTTCATTCTCATTCATTCTCAGTCTCATTCCTTCTAACAAATTGCAAATACTTTTGGACATGCATCAATTGCTTTCATAAAACTCTCTGCTGTTTTATAACATTATCATTTGGTTATGTCACGTCAGTCAAAATTAACTAACCTTGTGAATGCTGAATAGTCATTCCATAAAAAACTAATAGTCCTCAGTTCATTACTTGAGTCATTACATTAAAAAATGTTTAACTAGCTGTCAAAATCTGTCAAGCTAATTTTATTTTATTTTTTTAAATTCCTTAAAATGTAGATTTACAGACCTGTGTATGTTGTAGGTTCAGTTCCAATATGTACTGCAATATTGTTTATAGTTGTGCACAGCTCTACCCAAAGGGAGTTTATGATTGTTGTAAACAAGGGTGTATTTATTCTCTTGCACAATGTTGTCAACAAATTAGAATCGCAAAAAGCAAATGCAGTAAAAATGTCAAACAAAAATGTACAGTGTCTTGTACTCAGATACCTCACTAAATGCAGTGAGGTCTAGGTTTACTGTAGTTTTCAAACGGCTTATGGTTTAAAATGTTTTTGACAAACAGTTTAAGCTTGTAAAACTCATTCTTGAGGTGCTGCAGATCACAGAGAGCTGAACAGATCTTTTAATCCTCGTTCTTTTGTGCACGTCCTGTCTTGTGGATATGATTATACACATTACTATGGAGTCATGTTAATACATGGCTGTCAATCAATTCAATGGGCGGGTAAACTGCACTCCTATGTTACGCTGTGGTGGGCCTCAAGATCGGAGGGATTTGGATCCTATTTTAACGTCAGGATATTTAAAAAAAAAAAAAAAAGAGACTTATTGTGTTTCTATCACTCCAGTATGACTGTGGACACACTATACCTACAAACAGTTCTGTCCAAACAGCTTACAAAAGTTGATTTTCATCATAGATGCCCTTTAAAAGATGCATATTTTGCTACAATGATCCAATTAATAATGTTTTATGAAAACAACAGAGCATTATTGCAGTATTGTACAGTAAGACAAAACACAACTACATGAAAACCTTGGTTCTTTTGAAGCTATTATACTTGTTTTAAGTTCTGCATTAACACATTTACAGTACAAAGCACACTTGATATTGGCTGACATAAACATAACATTGACAAAAACATAACAAAAAAAATCTATATACATTTTTTTCAATTAAGCATATTTGAAGGTCACTGTAAATGAAATTCAGTGATGACAGTGTGACTCTTTAATCATCCACACGAGGTCCTTATTGACAATCCATCATGCACATATTTCAGCAGAAACTCCCCCGTCATTCAACTGACAGATCTCAATCATATGTGCGAACGGATCATTTCTGGTAGAAATGACATGCCGGTGAAGATGAAGAGGCATTTCCTTCGCTTAGCAAACTGGAACCTTGTGACAGAATCCCCTCCGCTTCATGCATTGCATTTGTGTGAGTAATCAGGGGCACTCAATGATATTCATTGGCAAGATTGGATTCTTACTGGCATCCGGAGCGTAGCAGTCCCAGTCTGATTCATTCGGTGATAACACCATATGGGCTTTTTGTCAGGAGATGATGAGAGGCGACTCACCGAGTATTACCTTAGAGATAATGGCGAGGAAGGCAAGGCAAGGCACAGTGCATAGCTATTACACTTCTAGCAAACCTCTGCAAAACAAAGCCTGAAATGTGAGACGGAAGCTACAAATATTAAAAATTAGCTTTTCTTCCGCTACAAGTTCTGAAAAAAATATATTGATATACATAGTTTGACCTTAAAGGGTCACGAAACACAAAAACACATTTTTTGAGCTGTTGACAGTCGCATATGTGTCCCACACTGCTAAAAACACTATTAGGACACCTATATTTCACTAAAAAGTGAAAATTGGTTGTTTTTACGATATTTCGAGCTAATTCTTACTTCCGGTTTGAAACAAATTTTTGAAGCTGCCTCACGGACTTGAGATCTTAGCATTTATTCCAGCATGTAGACTGGACATCTGTACCTGGGAGTACCGTATTACGTCTCTGTTTATACGTAACATGTTTTACTCGAGAGCTTTTCTCATCTGGAAATGGTGAGATCTGAATTTACTGCTCGTCTCCTTTTAAAAAAGACGCAGCTCCAGTATGTGTTGATTGTCCTGTCAACAGATTTGCTAAGTGTGTGCGATCAGCGCCCTTTCTTTGTTCATTCAGATAGCAAAGTTATAGTTTGTATGGTCAGCAGTACTCTTTCAGTGTTTAAAGACAGACCTTAGTCAAAATTATTTCTAAGTTACTTAGTTTACGTTAAATCCTTCCCCTTTTCCCTCCCCCGATACTCCCACCAAAACAGAGGTGTGAAAACACCCTGCTGAAACGAGGGGTTTCATGGCCCTTTAAAGAGATGGGTTGTCTATAAAACCGTACACTTGCTTGGATGGTGTGAAGACAAGAGCAGAAGAAAACTGGCTTGTCTATGGAGAATTGGAGAGCACAGCTGCTAGAAAACCAGCACTGTAATTTTGAACCCATTTTCTGTCATTTAAAGTTCATATTGTGCCATCATTATTTTATTAAGCACACACACATGCTATTTTTTGCCAGTTTTTTTTTTTTTTTTTTACACTGCCTTTGTGCTCTAGCACATATTAAAGGTGTCCCCTGGTTTCAGTCATTATAGACAATACAATAGATGATACTGTGTTAAATAAAACAAAACTTGGTTTCTATAGAAATGTGCTTTTCAGAGTCAAACTTGTTGCATTACAGGATGTGTCCATAATGAAGACAAAAGCTGTTGATTCATGAGGGCTGAGCCTGACCTAGGTCATGTCACAATTACTCTCTTGAAAAGGTTTTATGTGCCTATTAGAATGAGGGATTATCCACTTTCAGAAATAAAGGTACAGAAGCTGTTACTGGGGCAGTTCCTTTATTGAAAGCTCTTTTGTAGTTTTAGGTACTAACAGAGCATGTACCTTTAAGATACCAAAATAGACCCGTTGGTATAAATATGTACCTTTCAAAAGGTACTGCCCCAGCAACAGCTGTTGTATTTCTATTTCAAATTTCTTTTATTAGTTTTTTTATGTGGAGAATAAATTACAACATTCATTTTACAATTATCCTTCAATGTTGTGATTAAAGCTATCCCAAATAAACACTTCCCTCCCTCAACAGTCTATAACTTCCTATTGAAAAAACTAAACAAACATAATTAAGTTTAAAAATGATAATAAAGATAAATTTAAAAAAAAGAAAAAAAAGAAAATTATTAATAAATATGCATTCATATATTATTGCTCAGCTTAAGAATTAAGAGAGTTAGCCAGCAGATAATCTAAAAATGGGCGGCACAACTTTTTAAAGGTCTTTAAAGAACCAGTAAGCAATTGGCAATTTTTTTCCAATTTAATGGAAGTAAACACTTCTTTTATCCATGCATCAAAAGAGGGTGGAGAGACAGATTTCCACTTTTAAGATGAGACGCCTTGCTGGTAAAGTAGTAAAATCTTAAGACTTTTGGACCATTACTGAGAGGTTACCATCTACTGCCAACATAAAAATGGCCAGCAGTGGATTTGTATCCAGATCTACGAGTTACTGGCTGTTTCTCAATTCCAAGAACGCAGAGAACAGACTAGGCGAATTTGTGAAGACCGGTTTTGTCAGGTTACCTGGGCAAAAACGAACTCA